TCTGTCCCTGCCCTGTTGCCTGTGCCCCGGCAGGTACAGCACCTGGGAACCCGAGGAGAACATCCTGGATTCCCGCCTCATCGCTGCCTTCGAGCAGAAGTAAGTGCTCGTCCCCCACCCCAGCTGGGGGTTGCAGCAGGTTTGGTTGGGTGGGTGAGCGGGAGAGGCTGTTTACCCTCCTCTTTTCCATCCTCCCCCCACCCATTTTGTTTTTTCCTTTTTTTTTTTTTTTTCCCCTTAAACTTGTTTCATGGTTTTGGGAAAAGTTTTAACTTCTTGACAAATTTGACTCCCTCAAGGGAACGAGAGCGTGAGCTGTATGGGCCCAAGAAGAGAGGACCTAAGCCTAAAACTTTTCTGTTGAAGGTAACTGTTATTTAAATAACTTAGGCCTAGCTAAATGCGTCTCAAACCTCACCAGTGCATGCCCTTGGAAAGGATGGACTTTCAAGTGACTTATGCCGGCTGCCTGGCTTGGGGGATGTGGGGACAACACGATGGGAAAGCAGGTGGAGGGGAGAGCGTGTGTGCATGTGATGGGTGCCCCAGCAGGACGGTTGGCACATGTGGATGTGTACGGTGAGGCTGCAGTCTCTTTTTTCAGTATCCTCTTCCTTTTTATGGCGTTCTACTGCTGCAGTGGAGAGCTAGCCAGCCCTGCTCCCTTTTCCTTCGGCAGCCTCTTCCAGCCAGCCTGTGCCCTGCAACTTAGCAGCATGCTCAGCAATTGGGCAACTGTGGCGGGAATCCCACTGCCACTTGTGCTCCTCTGGTTGTGTTTCAGGATATAGGTGCTCTGTGGGAGTTTCATGAAGGGTTCATGTTTTGATCTGTAAACTACAGGCTTGTTTTGCTCTCAGTGAAGAGCAAGGAAGGTAGTCCTTAGTGCACGTGTCGTGTCCCGTCCTGTCCCCCCCCTCGTTCTTTACTTAGTTAAATTAAGAAACGTGGTAGCTATGTGACTGCTGTGAGAGCTCTGTGAATTTATTAGTTTACAAGCTCCTTGCTTTGCTGATCTCTTCCCCTTTCCTCTTCCAACTGTCTCAATGTCTGATTTCAAATGAACGTAGAAACAGCACACCTTTGTATGATTAAGACAGATGAGTGAGTTCATAGTTCCCCTCGTTTTGATCTGGTATAAAGCCCTGGAACAGCCAGGATGGACCCTGTGGTAAGGCATCGCTATCACTAACTCATCCTATGGCTTTGGGCAAGTCATTTAGCCTTTGTGCATGTTTCCCCATCTGTGAAACAGGTTAATACTTTCCTTTGCCTGGCAGCGGTAGGAGCTTTACTCAAGTCAGTGCAGCACTTTTAACTGTATGAGCACCAGAAGGAGCGGTGAGGGGGTAGGGTGTCACCTCTCCTCTGCTTTAAGAGGACATAATGAAGCACGCAGAAGAAGTGCAGGAACAGGCATATTCTGATGCCCCAGGGGACTGTGATTATCCTCAGAAAGTCCTTCTGATGGAACTGTCCTCCCTCATTGCCTGTTTTTCTGCTAACAGTTTTCTGTATCTGCAGACTGAGAGCTACAAACATGACTGATATGTGTTACCTCTTACGCTTTATTCAGAGAAACTAGACTAGTTTGGTTTTCTCTTTCTGGCAGTCATGCATTAAATGAAACCCTTGTGTTTAGGTTTCCAACAATGCAGAGGAACGCTTAAAGGGGAACCACCAGCTTAAAATAGTTCTCTGCTTGAATTAAAAAATACTGGTATTTGTAACACTTGACATGGTTCAGAGTGGTAGAGAAGTGTTTATGCTGCGTTTTTAACTTTACTGTGTGTAATCAGTTTCTTTTTGATTCTGAATGTGATACGGCAAAATCCACTGCCAAATTTTCAGTCATTTAAAAACCCCAAACCAACCTCCAAACTCAAAAATAAAACCCACTCGTGCCTCCTCTTCTCCCCTTGCCCTTTAAAAAAAACCCCTAAACTTGGAACGCGAATGATTCAACAGCATCCTTTGAATCACACCCCTGACACGTTCCTTTGGCACATCTTCCTTCTGCCAGCTTCTCAAACACTACTGAAAACCTGTAGGTTTGCAGCGCTGGCTCGGTACTTTATAGAAGATGGATCACGACAGGGAGTGAGATGAGCTCTCCTGAAGGCTGGTGCCACTTTGTGGGAGAGGCTGGCAGGGCAGCTCTGGGAAACGGAGCTGGTGAACCGATTTGTGCTCTCTGACTTGCTGTTTTTCTGTGACTTTGTGTCCTACCCTAAAAATAACACCCTAGGCTAGGCATCAGGAAGTAACTCTATCTCAGCTAGCCAGCCCTACCTGAACTTGTTTGAGCTCTATTCAGGTGGACCACTGGCAATGCAGCTGTGGCCAGAAACAGGACAGACCAGCAGGATAGTTTGCATCATGTGCATCACCCTGTCAGTCTTTCTGACCTGCCAAAGATGCATGTTTGACCTCTGCCACCCTGCAGCACCACTGCTGCTGGGAGAGGAGTGGGATTTCATTCTGCCTCATGCATTGCTAATGATGCTTTTGGTTGCTTCAGCTGCAGATCCTCTTGTTAGTGAGAATTTCAGAAACAGGGAAAGAAACTTGATTCTTGCATCCCAGAGGGAATCTTTGGAGTTGGCAGTTAGAACAATATTCTTTTTGAGCTGCTAACTGAACAGATTAAGCCTGGGTGCAATGATGTTTAAGCAGGAGTCTGGCCTAGGAGTGCTCTGGTAGACTAGTCTGCCCTCGACTCAGTGGCTTGCTAGGATTTTTCAGGTGTACCAGTGCTTAAACTTGGGCTTCCAAGCCTCCAGTAAGGTATTAAGTGCTCTGATACTCCGCTCAGTCCCCTGGCTTGTGAGGGTGATTTAGTTTGCAGTTGGGGCTAGGTTTATCCTAGGATTAGTTTTTGAAAGCTGTGGGTAGGCACCCAGAGGGATTTGCAGAAAGCATTCCAGCAGGTTAGTGGCCCACGCCTTTGGGGAAGCTTTGAAAGGCTCCATTTTTGGCCACCTGCTGCCTTTATAAGCTAGGCTCCCGTTGCTGAGAGCTGTGTAACACTTGCCCTTTCCATCAGACTCCAAAGGGAGATTACAGCCCAGGCTTTGTAATATCACTATCAAGATGGCCAGTGTTGAAAGTGACCCCTGCAAAGTTTTGGGCAGGAAATGGGTCTTTATCCTCTGCATACTAGGGGCAAACTTTCCCACAGCTGAGATGAAACTTGGCAGGAGGTTGTAATTCTGAGAGGTTGCTCATATGTCACAAGCTTTGTGCTGAGCGTATGGGAAGCGGAGTCCTTGATCTGAAATGGGCAGCTCTGTACATAAGGCTCTTACCTTACTACTTAGGTGTCTGGCTGAAGTTGTTCTTGAGGATAGGCTCTTCAGCTGCAGGTCAGAGTGGAAGCTGGTGTGAGGTTAGGAAGAATCATAGCACGTGCTATACTGATCTTCCTCTTCTGCTCAGTTTGTTCTTTTTATGTTGCTTTTCCCTCGGCACTCCACTGTGCAGAATGCAAAACTTGCCAACTAATCTAATAAAGTCTATCAAGTGCTGTTAAGAGACAGTGCTCTGCAAGCTCTGTGAGTGGCTAGCAAAGACACCTACTTGGGATGGGTGTAAATACTAAGATGAAAAGACTGGAGAAGGTTAATGGAGAAGTAGGGGAGAGTAGAGGAGGGGGGGAAGAAAGGGCCAAGCAGCATGGTGTTCTGCCACTTTGCCCTTCCTTGAACTCTAAAGTTGGAGTTGGGTTTCTTTTGATCTCTTCCCTGTTCGTAAATTATCCCCAAGTGGTTTGAAAACAGACCATTCCCCTTTGTAGTATTTTGTTCCCCATCCAGTAGGGAAACTTTAGTTTATGGCAGTGTTACTTGGGAGAACTGTGCTATGAACTGGCTTGCTGTTGCCTTCTCACTTGGAAGACTGCAGAAGAAAGGGGGTGATAAAAAAGGCAGAATGGCAGCCAAAAAGGGGAAAGAAGAGCTTTTGCGGATGCTGTTTGGAGCAAGGACTGTGGGAATGTAGGTGGAGAGTAAAGGACAAAGTGGAACCAGTAATTTATGAGAGAGTAGTGCTACTGTGGTGCAGCAGCACTACTGGAAACTGCTTGATTTTGAAATAATTATCTAGAAATCCATTGCTTTACAAGGATTTTTTGTCTTGTTTTTTTTCTCCTTCCAAGTTGCAGAGATTTTGATACAATTCAGGTAACAGAGGCTTTTCTAAGCACATGTCCATGTACGTGCTTGTGTGCCTCAGTGCGTTAAGGGAATGAATGAACAAATACGCTTGCTGGGCCTCAAGGGACACTTATTCAGAAATAGTATGGAACAGGGGAGATATGCTAGTTCCCAGGGGCAATGAGGGAGAGCTGTACAGGCTAAATAAAGGTGATATGTATCCCAAAAGGGAAGAGGGGGAAGGGAAGCAATCCTAGCAATTGGCTTGCTGTTATGACGGAGCACTGCAGCAAGCCTCCAGAAGCTGCATCCTGATGTAGGCTGAGCTGTAAGCAGAGAGTGAATTACTTCGTATACATGCTGAGTACTTCTCCAGCAGTGAGCAAATCCTGCAGGTGAAAGCCGCAAAACCCAGAAACATAGTTTCCATTTGGAAAACTTCTGAGTTAAGTAGCAAACTGTGGTGAAATGGTTGAAAGGATTAAATGGGTTTGTTTTTCAGAGACCTTATGCACATGTGGCTGGTGAGTGTGATGAATAGATCCGTACCAGGGAAAAGTGCATTTCCAAAAGATTAAACTGAATGCTGAGTCTTCTCCAGACCAAAGGTAGCATGTTACTTAATGTGAAGTTGGAAGTGGGAGAAGGAGAGCCCAGAAAACATGCTGTCTTCTTCAGGGAAGAGATCTGAGCTTGTATAGTTGATGCCTGAATAAACCTGATCCTGTGGTAGGAATAGTGAGCTTCGCAAGTGAGAGGGCTCTGGGGGCTGGTCTTAGATAAAGCATCTGATAATATTTTTCTTGAAACCTTACCTGGAAAAACAAGCTTAAGGTAAGCTGAATATTTACATATTGCTCTTTGGAACTTGCACTGAAGCTGGTCACTGGGGGATAGCGGTGTTGCTCTAGGGGAGAACTGTTGAGTGTCAGCTTACCCTCTCTCAATAATCTGGCTAAAGAGATTGATGCTGCACATAGTCTACCTGGAGACTACTGAAACTAGAATTTAATAAATGCAGGGAGCTGAAATACAAATTAGAAACAGCTTCAGCCTTGAGGAGATAACTGGAAACACAGACATATCGCAAGTAAGGGAGACCTAGTGGTTCTGGCACACTGGAAAAACCCTAGCAGGGCTCTTTGCTAGCTGCTGTGTAAGCACAACACCCAAAACAGGTCTCTCTGTCAAAACAGGGCAGGAGCTGATAAATGTGCACAGGCTGGGAAAGTAAAAACCAGCAGGACAGTGGAAGTGGCTGGGCGATGACCATCCCAGCATTATCACTTGTCATTTAATGTGTTTGATGGGAACCTATGCTGAGGAATTTTGGGGTGTATAAGGCAACTGTGGGTGTTTGTTACTGCTTCCCCCAGGCTTGGGGGAGGCTGCCTCCTTTTTCACATGGGTGATGGAAGGCAGTGCTGTGGGAAAAGCAGCAATTAGACTCAACTCAGAGCAGCATGTCACAGAGGGGGCAGAACTCCTTACTCCAACATGTGATTTCAGGGAAGGGAATTAATCAAGATGATGTGTGGTGTTGGTGTCAAGAAGGGCCATGAAAAATGCCTGTGTCTACCTGCTGAAGCTGTGGACCAGGGATCTTTACTGGCACATCTGGCCTTCAGTACCCTCTGCCTGACTTCCCTGTCCTGCATTTTGGACTGGGACATTGTGTTGCACTTCTTCTCAGCTGAGCAGTGGTAAACTGGCGAGAAGCCCAAAGCACAAGAGCAGCAATGCTAGAAGGGCTGGCTGTGATGGGCAAGGAGTGGAAAGGAAGAATGAAGTTGTTAATCCAGGCAGTGCTGGTATATAATGTCAGAAAGCAAACTGTAGCTTAGTCTGGTGTCTGCCATCTGCTTCAGAGGGACCTGTGAAGAGAGGAGGAAGCACAGCCCTAGATGTGCATGTCTCTGTGCCTGTGACCTCCTCATGGGATCTCTGGGGTCTCTAAACTGTGGAATGTTGGGGATAGCTGATACATGATGCAGGGAGTTCGTCTGGTGCTGTTGCTGTGCTCCAGCATGCAGGACATCTGGGACAAGAACTGTGTCTAACTATTCATTCTCTGAACAGTTTTGGGCATGGAATAATGTGTGAGGCTGAGCAAAGAGAAACTAGCTGGAAACTGGGATGCTTCTGCTTCGTTACGACATGTTGAGATTTGTCTGCCCTGAGGATACTTCCCTCTAGCTAGGTGAAACGGCACCCTTTACAGCCCAGGGTTAATGTGGAGAGTGTCTGTGCCTGCCTTGGCAATGTGTTACTCATCCCTGTTTCCTTGACAGTCAGCTAATAAAAACTCTAGAACACCTGGTTCAAATGAGCCTTCAGTCTGCTTTTTCACATACAGCTGAGGAAGGAAGCCTCATCTTTGCAGTCCTTTTAAAGACAGGATACAAATAGTACTGAAGGGCATGATCGTCCAGCATTAGCCAGGGAGGAACAAAATGTCTTCACATCTTGTTTTCTGCTCGCTCAGGATCTTCTTTGGTTCCCATGGGGATTTCGGTGGGAGAAGAGGGGCACTGGGTAACAGCAAAGCTCTGGGGATGTCTGGGGCTTTGAGCTTACTTTGCAAGAGCTAGCCTGGGCCCCTTGCTTAGATCTGTTGGATCCCTGTCTTCACACGCACATTTTTTTCCCCAGGCGTTTCTTTGGTGGGAGGCACAGGCTGCAGGGTGACAAAGGAGATGGTGTTGGAGTGCTTAAGCTCTTAGCTGGCAAGAAGCCATCCCGATCTTGGCGTGTGCTAGGGGGCAACGGGATGGAAAAGTTGGGGAAGAAAAGCAGCTGTCGTCTATAGCACTGCAGTTCTTATCGTGCCCACGAGGTGGGGGAAGCTGCTCACTACATGGGCAAGCGGAGGGGCCTCGCCTGTCCCCTCCAGGCCCGAGTGACTTCTCAGCAGTGGTCACAGGCAGGAATAAGGAAGGGGATGGTTTGAGCAAGGAGCGGGGTGCACGTGGGAGGCTGAGCTCTCAAGCAGCTGTGCTCTGACAAGTCGTGATGTAAGAACATGCTCTGGGTTTCCATGCCCACAGGGTCTTCAGGTCGTACTGCCTCAGCTTACCAATGAAACTGTTGTTTCTGCTGCCAGAAAACGTTCCTTTCTGGTGCATGAATCGGGGCAGGCTTTGGCACTGTCTCCAAGCACCAGAATTGCTTACAAGTCTTGTTCCCCTGCCCTGGCTCTTGAGCAGGACAGGCACCAAGCAGTTGAACTGATGCTGTTCCTGCTTTGTTTTATTAGTAAGTTTCAAACAACTGTGGTGGTCAAAAGGACAAGCTAGTCTCTTTAGAGATGCAGTTAAACTTGACTTGAATTCTAGCTGCTTGGCTTTAAACACTGTACCTTGATTTCCACAGCGGAGTGAGGATAAACACTTTCTTATGATCTCTAGTTGAAATTAAGCTTCAGATCTCTGCTTTTCCTGTGTTTAGCTAAGACAGCTCTGTCAGACCACCCTCACCTGCCTCCATCTGTGCTTCTCAAGGCCCCTGTTGGCCATGCTTTGGTTGTGGAAGGGGAAGAGCAAACTGGATGTGTTACTCTTCCTCTCTCCCTTGTCTTGTGCTTATTTCGTAGAGGAACTGATACAGTCCCCTGTCTTGGGACTAGTATGTAATTTTGGATGGCTGACAGTGGAGGGTTGTGCAGGTTGGCTGGTGATGACTGAGGAGGACCTTGGAAACCATTATCTATAACCCAGAAACACAGCTGGAGGGTGGCATTTTCCTCCTGTGGAAAACACGTATCAACAGGGACACAGCGTAAGGAGAAATTAGCTACTCAAAAAGGATGTACAGTGCCTCCTGCTTGTATGGTGGCTGTGCCATAGCCATCAATAGTCCAGATGTGTGTATGTGGTCTTGTCATTAACGTGGGTATAAATGCGACACAGCATTGCTGAGTTGAGAAATGCCTGATTTGAGACTTGGCTGCTCCTAAGGCTGCCTCTCTGACCCTGTTTTGTTTTCTCTCTCCCCACCACCGCAGGCTCGGGCCCAGGCGGAGGCCCTCCACATTGGGGATGTACACTTTTCTGTCAAGCCTGGTTCCAGCACCTCCTCTCCCAAGCTCCACTCCAGTGCCGCAGTGCACCGGCTCAAGAAAGACATCCGGCGATGCCACCGCATGTCCCGGCGTCCCCTGCCCCGTCCAGACCCCCAGAACGGCGGGAGCATGGCGGGGGGGGCCGGCATCCGTCCTCCTGTCTCGCCCTTCTCGGAGACCGTCCGCATCATCAACCGCAAGGTGAAACCCCGTGAGCCCAAGCGCAGCCGCATCATCCTCAACCTCAAAGTCATTGACAAAGGTGGGAAACCAGCCAACGGTGCTGGGGGCCTGGCTCGCCCCAAGATCCCCTCCCGAAACCGTGTCATTGGCAAGAGCAAAAAGTTCAGCGAGAGCGTTCTCCGCACCCAGATCCGCCACATGAAGTTCGGCTCCTTTTCTCTCTACAATAAGCCGTCCACTGCACCTGCCCCATCTCTGGAGGGCAAAGGGGAGGCTGAAAGCTCCCAGGCGGCCTCCTGTGGGCTCATTATGGGCTCCACCCCCTATGATGCCCCCAGCTCCAGCTCCTCCGGCTGCCAGTCACCAGCCCCCCACTCCTCCTCTGACCCAGATGATTCCCCTCCGAAGCTGCTTCCCGAGACCCTCAGCCCAGCCATTCCCGACTGGCGTGAGTCAGAGGTCCTCGACCTCTCGATCCCACCTGAGTCAGCTGCCACCAGCAAGCGTTCTCCCCCAGGAGGCTGCAGTGGGGGGCAGACACCCTCCTTATCCCTCTCTTCTTCCGACCCGGAGCAGGAAGCCAGCGACTGGCGTCCCGAGATGTCCCCTTGCTCTAATGTGGTGGTCACAGACGTCACCAGCAACCTCCTCACTGTCACCATCAAGGAGTTCTGCAACGCGGAGGATTTTGAGAAGGTGGCGGTGGGTGGCGGTGGAGGAGGCAGCAAGTGAGCAGCCGGGTCCCCCTGCTCCAGCCATGTGGGGGGAGCTCTACTGCGAGAAGTCGTGGTGCGAATGGCTGTCCTTAGTTCTCTCCTTCTCCCCTTGGCTGTCCCTCTGCCCTCACTGCCACCCTTCCTCTTCCTTTCCCCCTGTTCACTCCCTCTTGCCTGGAGGCTGGAGCGTGTCAGTGGCAAGGAGTTGGGGGCACCTACTGTTCCTGGGTGTCGCTGCTGCTGGGAGGAAGCAGGGAGGGTCGTGGTGGGGCTGGGGAGTGGTTGTTTGTCCTTGAATGTGGTGTTGTCCAATGGGCGGTGGAGCCTTTGGGGATGAGGGATGGGTGAGCGTGTGTCTGTGTACCTGTGGGGGTGGTGGGGAAGGTGCTCTACCTCCTCCTTCCACTTCCATCACTGACAAAAACCGAAGAGGAGCTCCAGACCCTTGAGGGGAGGATATAAGAGGATTAGAGCCTTTGCCCATGCCCCCCAAGCCTTCTCCCATAATGTGCATGCAGTCTCTTCCATTCCTATGTGTCCCCTTGCCATGACACTGATCCTACCATCCTTCCTCCTCTTGGTCTGCGGTCTGCATCTGCCCTCTCGTCTGCTGTCCTCATGGCAGTTCCTGATCCAGATGCCCCCAGAGCGAGGGGAAGAGGGGCAGGTGAAGCCCCATGCCTGGAAAGGTGCTTGAGACAAGGCTAGGGTGGTGGGGGTGTGCCATGCAGGCTACACCCCATATCGGCTTCCCCTTTCCTGTGACTATTGGTGCTACCTTGGCAGTTGTATGGGCACTTTCAGGTGCCTTGCTCCCTCCTCATCATCTTCCAACTTGCTCAGCTCTGCGGGGGGAAGGGAAGAAAAGGGGAGTCTGATTCTGGCCCAGATCTTCCTCCTGGTGTTCATCACTTGCACTTGCTTGGGGGAGAGGGCATGAAATGTCCTTCCCCAGCCTTCCTGTGGTGGAAGTGGGAGTGGGCCTAGCATCCATCCTTCAGTTTGGGGGAAGATCCACTAACAGCGTGGCTGCTGCAGCTGGGAGAGACTGGTCTTCCTCCTTGAACGTAAGCTTCCCCCCAGCTCCTTCGGAAGGAAGGAGGGATGGATGCTAAGGCAGGTTGTTTCCTCTTCCTGCTTCCTTTCATCTCTCCTGCTCTTCCTTCCCTGTGGTAGATGGCCTGGAAGAGGGTTCCCCTTTCTGTTTTCAAGCATCTGAATCAGCCCTTGCAACTGTCAACCAAAGGTGCTAATAAGAAATAACTCTTTCTCACATCATACGGATGTGCGCTGGATCTCTTCCCCCAGAGCTGTGAACTGATCTAGAAATTCCTTCTCTTTGCCCCAGCAAGTAGGAGTGAGCAAGACCACAGCTTACTCTTCCCCTGACCACCTTTGTTCACATTCAGAATAAGCTCTCCTTTGCCTACTATTTCTGACTTGCTCTGTTTCTGTGTGGGTCCTAAACTTCACGGCAAGATGCCGTTCCTTTGCTCTCCCTTCTACCCCTACTTGCACAGAACTCAGGCTGTAGGGGTAATGGAAAGAGGTGCTGATCAGTCAGTGGGAGAGCCTTACCCTCTCAGCCCTGTCCCTGGTATTCAGGAAGGGGCAGAGGAGTGTCACTTCTACATAACATGCTGCAGAGGTGAAAAGGGTGGAAAAACTTCCCCATGCCAGGGCTTGGCTCACCTAGTTACAGATCTGCCCTGGGTGGGTGAATATGAGTGGAATTAGCCCCTCTGGTGCTTCCACACAAGGATGCTCGTGAGCTGCTGGCTCTGAGGAGTGCTGTTGTGTGGAGTGGTGATTTTGTGGTTGCAGCGGTCTGAGGATAGAAGGGAGGCAGTCTGTGGGAGAGAAGTAATATATGTTTGCCCAAGAGGCGGCGTTGGGGTGGTAGAGGGACAGACCAGCTTCTGACCTTAATTTGGGGCTTCTGTGCCCAGAAGCTTGCCTATTCCCTGCCTCCAGTGCCTGGGTTGGTAGAATGCTGCCCTCCCCACAGGCTCCTCCTGCCTTGCGGCCAGTGGCATTCAAAGCCATGGGGCAGGGTGAATTCGCATCACTTGCAGTGGGTGTCTGCGCAGACAGTCCGAGGGGGATTCCAGGTGCTGTTAGCACCACCCTTTGCACACCTCTTTCTTTTTCTTTCCTTGGTTAAAGAGCTCAGTAGACTCTTTTGGGATGCAGTTGCATTCACGGTTGAAGCTAGGGGCAGGGAGAAAGACTTCCCTGATCCATTCATCAAGCTAAGGCTTCCTATAACTTGTTGGACTTGTGTGCGTGTCTGTGTTAATACCTGCCTGTATTTCTCGTGTCTTGAGGGGGTTTTTTTAATTTTTTTTTTTTTTTTTTTTGCATCTTTCCTGTGCCTCGCACACCCGGGGATCCCTTATTTTAGCATAGCCTATCCATTTGACTGCAGCCTCAAAAATGAGCGGTTTGTAGGCATAGGAAAAGCTAGGAAAATAAAGCTAGGGAAATAGCGAGGAGATTCTTCTCTCTTTCCCCCCTTCCCCTTCTCAACAAGAACTATTCTGTGGCTGTGAGATAAGAGGAGCTTCTTTGTGGGGTGGATGCAAACTGGCCAGTCACTTTAGGTTGTTGAGTTGCTGTTTGGTGTGTATGTGGTGATGTGTTTTGTTTCGTGGTATTGAGGTTCTGGAAAAAAAAAAGAAGCATTTAAGTGGGAGATAAAAGGGAACTTTAATAGGAAACTCTTGATGTGTTTTGGCCAAGATGTGTTTTCTTGGCAGAATTCTTTTCCCCAGTGTCTCTTGTATGGTGTTCTTTGAGGGCAGGGGACAGGAATTGTTTAATTGAAGGGGTTTTGCCTTTCTCCAGAGTGACAAGCAAGGGGACTGTCTGTGAAGAGCAAAACAGTGGGTCATTGTAGGGATACTCCGTGAGGACCTTCTTCCTGTGGTGAGGAGATGAGGGGACTTGTTGTAAGCAGAGGAACCTGTGCAGTAGATCCTCTTTGTGGAGGAAGAAAGGAGTATGATCCGGATTGCAGGCACAGCTCAACTGCTTGTGTGACAAATATCTCCCTGGGTGAGTCACCAGGTGGGGACCAAACCCTGAACCTCTGGATCCAAAATGAGGATCCCATGCTGGTTTGAGTTAGAAGTTTGCTAACTTGAACACACAGCAGCCTCGAGTTCCCTCAGGTGGATGAGCCACTTGAGGCTGACTAGCCTACCTTTGTATTCACGTGGGTTGCACTCCTCCTTCTGAATTTTTGCCCTTGCTCCTTAACAGAGATGGGAAAGAAGATCCATCCATGCCTTTTAAAAAGGGCATGGGATTGAGGGAGGAGTTTATCTGAAAGTATCCCCTTCCCTTCCCCATAACCCCTACGAAAACAAAAAACAGGGAAATATTCTCTGTGCCTGTGCCATGTTTGTTCTCTTGTTGTCGTGTTTTTAGAGGAGATTTTATGATGGAGTGGAAAAAGTGAAATGATTAGTTTTGCATAAAAAAAAAAGAAAAGTTTAAAAAAAATTTCTACAGGGAGAGAGCGAGAGAGAGTTTAAAAATGATTAATAAATGCAGTGATTGCACAAACTGTAGTGGTAATAGAGATGGTCCTTAGAGAAAAGAGTATTTTGTAGTATTGAAGCATGTGTGTCTGGGATGGTGTTTGCCTTGCTTGAACTGGAGGGAAAGGCATTCTGGGACTAAGCAGCGATCTCTGAGCTGAAAAGGCAAGTTGCATGTTGGAGGAACCCTGTCTACAAACCCTTCCCGTTCTTGCCTCCCAAGTGTTGGAGTGAGTTCCCTTCCCTCCCATACCTCTCCTGTGAGCTAAGGTAGAGTCTCCAAGTGGTTTTCCGGCCGAGCGGCCCTCAGAAATGGCTGGTTGCGTTCTGCCAGAACGTGGATCGGGCCACCAACATGGAAACAGTTGACTTACTTTGCATGCACAGCAAGCTGCTAAGATTTGGGGTTGTCATGTACCTTTCCTGCCAAGTCACTGTCTCTCTTCTCTTTTCCCTACCCCATATCCAAGCAAGATTAACCATGGTGGGCTTATCTCCTGGGAAGCAGATATGCCTCCCCTCTGTAGGGTCTCTTAGCTTCTTCTAGCATTGGGTGGGGAGTGTCATTTTTCCATATCAGATTCACCACGTCAAGACAGAGAACAGAGTCCCATCTGTATGTATTCCAGCATCTGACTGTCCACATCTTCAGAGGTAGACAAGAGAGCTGCCTTGTGTGCTCTGAAGGTGCTTCCGAGTGAGGTATCACCTCTTTTTGAGGCCAGCAAATGCTGGAGGCTTTGGGATGGGGAGACGAACACCATGATGGGACTGTGTTCAAGTGAGGGCTGTCGTCTTCTGCTCTAGCTTCCTGCAGAGTGGCAGGGAAGAGTTGCTTGAACATTCATTCATTCAAAGCTTCCCCATTCATGATATCTCTGCTGGGTGTTCATCTTATGCATGGGAATGACTGCAGGGAAGAGGGAAGCTACCAGACGTTGGTGTCTGAACTGAACATAGCAGGCAGGGGATGCTAGGGCAGCTTTTCTTGTCTGGACTTCTCTGGTGCCCTTAGCTTTGCAGTGGCAGGTGATGGATGTCTCGGTGCCTCCCACAGCCTGGGCTGCTCTTGGGAACTTCCTCTCCTCTCTCTGCCCATTGGGCTCTGTCAGTGCTTCCCACAGCCTTCAGCTTGGAGCAGCAGCCTCCTATCTAATGCTCTCCTTTTCTCGTCGTTGAGCAGAGCAGGACTGGGGAGATGTGAAACTAATGAGGTGCAAGTTCCTTCTGGGATGGAAAACAGACAAATAGTGTGGTGAGCAGGCCCAGCTGTGGTGAGCCACTGCTTGATTTCTGTTTTCAAAAGAGAAAGGGAGCATTTCTCTGCATCTCCCCTTACTGAAGTTCCCAGGGTAATTTTATGATATAAAGAAAAAAAAAAAAAAAAAAAAAAAAGGAACCCTTTACAATCCTGCTTTTTACCAGGTAGGAGCTGTCTCTGAGCTGAGTCTTCCTAGGGATTTCACTCCCT